TCAATTTGGTTTCATGACGTTAAAAAAAAAAAAAACAACTCTCCTCTGCTTAGGCTATTAAAATTAATTCACGTTCTCTAAGCAAACACTGCTTGGAGAAAAGAGACTTCTACCAGTTAACAGGAGCACTGGTGGCTCAGTGGTTACGAGTTTGGCTGCTAACCAAAAGGATGGCAGGTGGAATCCACTAGCCGCTCTTTAGAAACCCTGAGGCAGTTCTACTGTCCTACTGGGTCGTGAGGGCAACAGGTCAGGTCAGACTAGTTACTAAGGAAATCAAAATATGATGAGGATACTAAAAAATTAACTATAGTCCTGCTATTTGTGGGTCTGCTCAAAGCTCCCTTTATCCCTTCTCTCAGGTTATAACAATATGCCTTGAACATCCTTCCCACCAAGCTAGCAAACTCACATCAAAGAGCTTCTGAAACTTCTCCTCTGCCTCCATAAACATTTCTCAAATTGATGATTAACAAAAAAACCAAAGCCGCTGCCATCAAGTTGATTCTGACTCATAGCAACCCTATAGAGAAAAACTGCTCCATAGAATTTCCAAGGAGTGGCTGGTGGACTCAAACTGATGACCTTCTGGTTAGCAGCCAAGCTCTTAACCACTGTGACACCAGGGCTCCAAACTGATGATAGAGATGAAAACACCCATTCGTTTCAATATATATGGAAATCACTACATGGCTCCCAAGGTTGACTCTACAGAGTTCATTAAAATAACAACATGAAAATTAAACAATTAGAATTCTATGTGCACGTGTATTTTAAGATTTTTATTATTTCCAGTTTATCAGGGAGCAATGGTGTTGACTAGGCCTCAGTCCTTACTCTGAAACACAAACATACTTGTAAAAATTCAACTACACTTTTTTCTTCTAAAAGGCTGCTTTTTTAAAATAACATCTAATTTGAAAAGAATGAGCTGTATAATAGAATCATAAACAAAATTTTAATAATTACCATTTGCTTTACTGAGAACAACCTAAATCGGGTCTTAGCAGTAACATACATTGTGTTAAACTAACCAATAACCACCTTCCGTTATGTGCCCAGAGTCCATAGGTGGTGCAAACATTTAATGCACTTGCTGTTAACCAGAAGGTGGGCAGTTCAAGTCTACCCAGAGGTACCTTGGAAGAAAGGCCTGAAGATCTACTTCTGAAAAATCAGCCACTGAAAACCCTAGGGGGCACACTTCTACTCTGACTCACACAGGGCCACCATGAGTCAGATTCAACTCAACTGTAACTAGTTTGGTTTTGGTGATGCGACAAGTACTACGGGAGACACCTCTCATGCACGCTCTCCCTCATTCCCACCTCTACTTCTTCCATCTTCCACCTCCGCTACTGCCAATAATTGCCTACCAAGTCTCTCTGATGGTATCCAGCCTACACACCACTAGTAGTTTGTTAGGTGCCATGGAATCGGTTCCGACTAACAGTGACTCTATGTACAACAAAATTAGCACTAATTAAAAATATACTGACTGCCTATTTTAGGTGCTGAGGATACAGCTCTCAAGGAGCTCACAGTCCAGGACAGAAAAAAATATATATGTGTATTTTCGGTAGTAAAACTGCAATGAAATAAAGCAACCAGGCTAGGAGGTAAGCTATCACAGACAGACAGTCAGGTAAGGCCTCTATGAAAAGCCTGATACTTAACATTTGATGGGGAACTGACTCCCCAACTCTACTGTATTCTATTGGAAAAATCAAGGTAAAGTATATACAGAGGCTGCATCTACGACCAGCAAATATTCCATAATCTGAGAAGCAACTCTATGTGCTAAAGCATAAAATGGTGAAATAATACTGAGTCAGCGAAAAACAGCGAAGAGAAAAAATTAATTTCAACCTTCTTTTGCAGAGCATCATCATGCGTCATGTGTGTTAACACCATGTAACTAGGGAACGTCTCATCCAAAGAGAGGCAGGCAATCAGATGCTCAGCAAGAACGCTCTTCTTCCAGATCCTGGCCCAAAATCTTAACACATTCCCTTCAACAGCTCTCTGCATTTCCAATGAGGCTGGCATGAGATTCTCCCCTATGCCAACAAACTACTTTTTCATTCATATCTCCCAGAATCTCCCCACATATACCGTTTTCCAAAGAAACCCCTTTATATGGATTCCCTTCCCACAAAATTTCTCACTGTATCTACCTACTAAAGTCTTATCTTAAAACACCACACGTGGGGCGCCATGAATCACAACTGACTCAATGACAAGCGGTTTACTGGTGTTCTTGTTTCTCTCTCCAACTCCGTATTACAGGCTTCGTGGGTGAAGAAATGGGCTTGTTCATTTATTATCTCCCACAGTATGTCTTCCAGAATAGATATTCATATTCATGTTTATTCAATATACAGGAGATGCAAGGAGATTTACAATTTGGCTGAGGAAAAAAATTTAAGGTAGGATAAAATCAAGTGCTACTTAGTATGGTTCTAGCCACTAAAATGCTGTGATGCAGGTTAAAAAAAATCATAACAACATAGAGAAGTACACAGAATATGGAGCCAGGCTTTGTTCAAACTCTAGCTCTGCCACTAACTTGACGTGAACCTCAAGGAAGTTACTTAACTTCTCTGAGTCTCAGTTTCCTCTCAGTAAAATGGTGAGAATATCACGTACCTCACAGGGTTGGTGTAAAAAATTGAATTAACACACAAAAATACACTTAAAACAAAGCCTAGCACTTAGTAAGTGTTCAATACATGTTAGTTGCCATTATGTCTATTATTATTATTTGTTCAAGAATCAGTTTCTCCACTGGTAAACAGTGTCGAGCTGGATCTCTTGGTTCTCTTTCAACTCAACGATTCCATACCTAAGTGCCACACTACACTGAAGACGTCAGAGATCACTAAGAGCAAAAGTGGGGGTAGACTTCATAAGAGAGCTACAACCTGGGCTAGGCATGGAAAAATGCAAGTTGGGGAGAGAAGTGGAAAGAAGTAACCACTCTAGGGGGTAAAGATAGAACTAGCAAAAGCTAGGAAGAGAGAATAATCATGGAACCTGAGGAAGACAATTTGGCTAGAGTTTACGGTTTGGGAAGTGGTGGGAAATCAGATATGATCTAAACGACTTTAAAAATAGTGGGCTAAAATCAACTGACTATATAAATCACATTACTTTATCACTTATGATTTTGGGGGTGGGAGAAAGAGTTCTAAGGACAGCTGATTAGCACCTACTCTACCTAAATAACCTGCCTTGTGAACATCTCACATACTATACATGGTCAGTTCTTAAAATAGAATCTGTACATAAAACCTAAGTATTCCATCACTTTCTTTTAAAGCCAAATATAAATAATTGCTTGGTTATGTTTATTTAGGAAGCAACCCTTTCCTCTCTGTTAGCTTAAAGAAACTAAGACCTGAATGTAAGAAAATCAATTTGATAAAAAAGTCAAATATAAACAACTGCATTCTTCTATGAATTCTGCTAAATTATTACATCTAAGTCAGATCTTATCATTCCTCTGCTCAAAACCTCCCAATGGTCCCCATATGACTCAGAGTCAAAGTAAAAGCTTCACAATAGCCTAAAAGGCCCTGGCTGTTCTGCCCAGCCCCTTCCTCCCTCCCCTTATCTCCTACAACTCCTTCCTTTGCTCCCAGTGCTCCAAGCACATTGGTCTCCTTACTGTTATTCCAACAGGCCAGGCATTGTCCTCTTCAAGGCCTTTTCCACTTGCTGTTCCCTCTGCCTAGAACATTCCTTACCCCAGACACTCGCATGGTTCACTCACTCCCTCACCTTCTCCCAGTCTTTGCTGAAATATCAGGCTGTCTTACTAGAGATTTCCTGACCACTCTATTTCAAATTGCCACAACATCTCCCCAACACCTTTTCCAACTTTATACCTTTAAGGCACTAATGATCTTCTAATACAGTATAATTTATCTATTTGCTTAATGCCTCTCTTTCCTCCACTAACAAGTAAGTTTCATGACGGCAAGGACCACAAACCTATCCCTAGCACCTAGAAGAGAGCTAAGAAACAGACACACAGTAGTCACCGATAAAAATATTTCAACTAATGAATTATAGATTAGACTACATAATGCCCCTTCCAGGTACAGAAAAATACAGCATGCATTTTTTTGCCACCACTGAAAGGCTAAAAATTAATTTTTGTACGAAACACTCACATGCCAGAACTAGGCTCAGCTCTGGAAAGTTAAAGTGAATTAAGACATAGTCCATGCCATTCAGAACTTCTGCGTGTGTATATGGGGGGAGAGGATAGAAACCTATCATTTACAGCAAAGAATACATAAGAAAGCCAGAGAAAACTGACTGACAAGCTAAAAGAGTGGGGGCAAAAGGGAAAATCCTTCCCTAAGGTGATAAGGAGGCTATGATCCCTAAAATTCTCGACTAGTACGATAGTTTTCCTTTGTATTATTGGTGCATAGGCTTGCAACTCCATACAAACTATTCACTCACAGCAGATATGCTCTCATAGGCCTGCAAAAAAGTTTAGGTGATGATAGGGATGCTAATCACTGATCTACTCAAAGGCTGCACAAAGATCATCGACTTTGTCTTCCAGCTTTCCGATTTGGCAACTTTTGCCTATCGGGTTACCCCAATTTGGAGTCTTGCATCTCTCAAATGCTGCCTACCTTGGTCAGAATTCTCCCGTTGGCTATCCCTACCTCGGAACCATGCATCCTGCAAATCCCTTCCCTAGCCGTGCAAGCGCCGCCTCCGGAAAGCCGCGAACTGGGCCTCGATAAGAGTTGCGAGAGAAGCAGAAGCCGTGAGAGGGGCTGCCGAGCGACGTGGTTCGGAAGGATTCCTCGAGGTCTCAGCCCCACACTCCCATCCCTCCTCGGCCCCCAGGGCCGCCGGTGCCCGGAGGCTCCTCCGACTCTTTGTTAAGCAAGGCCGCGGCTTCCCGGCCCTCGCTAGGCCCCACAGTTGCCTCCCGTGCCTCAATGGGTTAGCGGCCCTGCGTCCAGACTCACCTCGCAGAAACCTGGTACGATAGCGGCAGCGGCTACCACCGCCGACGCCGGGAGAATCCCACCGCCCAGAGTACGCGCCGCCCGGGCCCCGTCCCGCCGCGCTCCTCGCTCTCCGCCCCCTACACCGCCGCCGCCTCTCGGCCCGTTGCTCAGTGGGGGAGGGGAGCACAAACGTGACATGCGCAGTGGAGAGAGCACGGGCCCAGGGGCGGGGCCTGAAAGTACTGCTCGGTAAAGACGCGCGAGCTCCCAACCTTAAAACTCTGGGATGCCTCGCAGACTCAAGTACGCTGATAAGAAACTGTTGCGGGGTGAGGACTGTTCATGTACCATCTAGAAAGTGGGTCTGGGAGTGAAGAAAGAGTGGCAGCGGACAGGGAACTGACCAAAACTCCCAAGAGAAAAGGGCTTGGGCGGAAACCACATTTACATAAAAATGTCGATCTCCTAACCGCTGGTTCCTTGCAAAGATGACTTGGGCAACATTTCTCCGTATGCCTCTGGCCACGTGGTCCCATAGAGCATGGGCACCTTTAGCTTCCGGAGCACCCGTCCTGCATTGATGTCAACTTGACTGAACTCTAGTGGCGAGGGCTGGGATCGGCTAGGGCAGTTCTGGCCCAGGGGCGGGGATTATGTAATTTTCCCAGCAGCCCAATCACGCCTCAGCTAGGCGTGGGGGAGGGGAGGGAAAGAGTGGTCTCGCGCGGTCCCCGAGGCTACGTTCCTCCCCCCCACCTCGCCGCGCGCAGGCGCGGACGAGCCGCACGCATTCTACGTAACGGATGATGGAGGTTACGCAAAGTGTTTCTTGGGATGACTGAGCTGTTTGGTTCCGCTGTGTCCTAGAGGCATCAGGCGCGGGGGTGGGCAGTCACCGCGCGACGGCGAAGGCAGTGGCCAGGCCGAGAGGCAGGAGGGGTAGAGGTAGCGGCCTCAGGAGCGCTGGGCAGGGTTTGGCCTCCGGTACAGGTAGGGAGCGGGCCCCTACGCGTTAGTCGGTGGGGCCGGTACAGGCCGAGCGGTGACTCTTGAGAGTTGCGTGGCCTACCGGATCGTGTTTCTCACCCTGGCCCCGTAGGTCCGGCGTGTGGTGACACGCATCAGTCCCGCGCCTTCTCTCCTCTGCCCGACTTTCTTAACTATAATAATAAATGATGATAAATTAATTTACCGCAAGGCAAATTTTCTGTTGGCCTGTCAGGGCTGGGGTGATTTTAACGGTTTTCGAGAACTTGCCCCCAGAGTTGTGATCAGATACCAACAAGAAGGGCATAGCTAGAGGAAACTTGCAGTGTGCAGCAGAAAGAGTGAACTTTAGCCGTCAGAATTAATTAATTCCCCCGTGGGGTTGAAAGACTAAACACGGGTGGTTAGCAGAAGCAACTTCTGTGGCAAGTCTTGTCTGAAGGTTTCTGGCATAAGATATGTTTTTATCCAAGAATATCTACGTTATTTCCAGAGGTCTCGTATTCTGACCGTTGTCAGAGAGGCTTAATCTCGGAATGGCAGCGAGGAATAAATGATTTCCCCTCTTCTTTGAATTTCGCTTTTAAATCCGAACTCTATGGCTGAGAGACTACTGAGTAAGCTTTCAGAAGATAATCAAAGCAGACTTGTTAGTGCTTATGCACTGCCTCCGTCCTCTGCTGCCTGTCCCAGGAGTCCCAGCCTAGTGGGTGACCTGGCAGGGAGTTGTCCCTGGGAGAAATAAGTTGACAGGTGCAGTAGAGAGACTTCGGAGACGGAAGCCCACAAATGGCTTGGATAATTTTAACCTAAATAACCTTGCAGGAGTCCTGTTACAAGGCTGAGTTATCTTAAATACTTCTGTGGTATGAACATTCTGAGTGGAAATTCAGTTCGAAATGATGAGATCTGTGGCAGGCCATTGGCGTCCTGGTGGTGTAGTGATTAAGAGCTCCGCTGCTAACCAAAAGGTCAGCAGCTCAAGTCCACCAGCCGCTCTTTGGAAACCCTGTGAGGCAGTTCTACTCTGTCCTGTAGGGTCGCTGTGACTCGGAATGAACTTGACGGCAACAAGTTTGGGGTTTTTTTTTTTGGTGGCAGGCCATTAATCGAATTGATTGTGCCAGTGCTAAAAGCTTTAGTTTTTATTTGTAGAAGTTTAAGACTGGAATCAGAAAAAACTAAACCAAATGAAGTTTTTTAAATCATAAGCAAGAGGGGAAGGAAGGAACGGGAACTAATATTTGAGTGCCTTCTGTGTGCCAGGCAGTGTGTCAAGACTTGACATGCCAAAACCGAAAAACCAAATCCACTGCCATTGAGTCGATTCCAACTCATAGTGACCCTATAGGACAGAATATAACCGCCCCATAGAGTTTCCAAGGAGCTGCTGCCGACCTTTTGGTTAGCAGCCAAACTCTTAAACCACTGTGCCACTAGGGCTCCAGACTTGGCACATATCTCCTATAATCCTCACTGTAGCCCTATGAGACAAGTAGTGAGTGATACACTTTTTTTTTTTTTTTTTTGGCATATGAGGAACAGGGACCTTTAAGTAATTGGCCCAAGATCATAGAGCTGGTAAACAATGGAGCTGACATTTTAAACTAAATCTAACTTCACCAAAGTAAGTGCTCTTTTTCATGTTTCTTCCACTTTTGACCAAATATCAGAACATGAGAACTAAATGAAAAATCCTAGAAACTTACAAGAGAAAGTTTAACAGATAATAACTTAGGGGATTGATTACCTTTAGAACTAATGAAGCTGAAAATATCCACTCTATAGTTTAGCAGCATTCATTAATAAAAAATTATTGTAGGAAATTAGGGATGTTTGGAGACACATCACAAACCTCTTTGAGACTGGCATCGAGAAGGCAGCCATGCTTTCCAACAAAATACAGGAAAGGATGCACTGTTAGCCTATTCCCTATGGTATTTCTCAAAATCAGTTGTGCCTTTCTATACTTACGAACTTTGACCAATTCAAAGAATATTGATTGAGCATCAATGAGCTGCAAGGTATTGGGCAATGCCCTTTGATACTGAACTAATTCCTGTAAGAATTTACAGTGATGTAAATTTAGAATATTCACTGGCCCAGACCACCTTGAAAGAGTATTGCATACTTCCTTTTGCTGCCTCTTACTTCCATTACTATTCAACTCCCTACATTCTGACTTCCATCCTCACTACTTCCCTGCAGTTGCCACTAATGATTTTCTTATTAACATTTGAAATTGTTGGTCCATATCTATCTTCAATTTTCTGCAGCAATTGAAACAGTTCTGCTTCCTTCTTAAAAACTTATTTCAGTTTTTATTTCTATGATACTGCTTTGACTAGAATCTGTTCTTTTTTGTCTTCCTGTTTAGTTTCTCCCTTCTTTTTTCACTCCAATTCTTCCTATTATGTCTATCTGTTAGCTGTTACGATTTGTTTCAAGATTTTTTTTTTTGCTCTGTATTTGTTGTTGGTTAACAACAACAAAATGCTCGCTGGGTGATCTTACCCATTACCATACCATCTCTGTTCCCAGCTCAGTCCTGTATCCTGAACTCCAGACTTAAATTTTCACCCACTTCCTTTCCTCCCTCTGAAAAGTGGGTTGCAATACCTACCTTTTAGGGATATAGTGAGAATTAAAAGAGTAAATGTAAATCGTCTAATATGCTGCTTGAAACCCTTTCAACAGATACTAAATGGATTTATTACTTTTCCCCCCAGTTCATTCCTCCTTTATTGTTCTGTCTCAATTAAGAATGGTTTTGTTCAGCTATTCATCAAGCCAAAATTTGGGATCACCCTAGATCTTCCTTCCTCATATCTCCTGTATCCAGTTACTTTATGCTGACAAATGTAATTCTTAGATACCCCTCAAATCTGTCTTTATTCCCAGTGCCACCTCCAGTTTAATCCTGTTTCATCTCTTACCTGTTTTTGTCAGCTACTTCCTGTTTGTCCTGCCTCAAGTACCTTTCTCCAATGCACTCTACATATGAGCTGTCAGGGCTGAGTTAGAAAACTGATGGTATCATGCTCCTACTTAAAATCCTTCAGTTGCTTCCATTTACCCAAACTTGTTAGTATGGCATCTAAATAAGGATCCTTGTGATCTGGCCCCTGCTGGTCCTTCCAACCTCATTTCCTCCACTTGGATCTACAAACTCAATGCTCCATCATATCAGACTCCTAAAATACATGTTTTCAGGTTTTTAAATGCCATTCCTCACCCTGCAGTTCCTCTCCTGGAGTGCAGGAACCATAATCTTAATTGTTTTAAAGAACTGCTGCTTTTTGTTACAAAAGTATATCATAGAAACATAAGAAAACTAAGGGCAAAATACCTGTCATCCTGCCCTACAAAATAACTACTATTTATTTCTAGATGTATGTCCTAGGCCCTTTTTCTTTATGTGCATTTATCTAAAACAAACCTAGGTTCTAACTGTTCATTTGTAGCAATTTTTAATAGGCAAGAAGTAAATTTGTTTTTTGGATGTACTTATAGTTTAACCAAATAGTATCAAAATTTTCACTACCCTAAGTAACACTGTAACACATAACCTTAAAGCTAAATTCCTGTACAAATTTATGATTATTCAGGAATCATGTTTTACTCATCTTGGCATAGTATCTATTATGGTGATTTGCTCAGTAAAGTTTTATTTGATTAGGTAACGGTAGGATCATTATATGAAAAGCAGTGAAATTCAGGAGTTTTCATATTCTGCAGAAGTTGATTAGCATTTGATGATGATTGAATCCTTATGTAGCAAATATTGTGTTTTAGAAAGCGATGGTGGTTTTTAGGGAGAAAGTTGAGGCAGGGGAGACCCCTTAGGATACTACTACGATTCTTGAGCAGATGATCATAGCTTGGATTATCAGGATGGCTTTGAGACTTGAAGAAGGAAACACCAGGATTTGATGACTGATTAGGTTTCAAAGACAGAGGGAAGTGAGAAATTAGACTTCTTGGTTTTTTTTCCCAACAAGTAAGACTGGAAAGATGGGATTGATATTAATATGCAAATAGAGAAATTCAAATACCTGTTGAGTTGGAAGTGACTGTATGGACTGTTTGAGAGGCGACCTGTTTTTGCATCTGCAAGCTGAGAATGGTTTTTACATTTTTAAAGATTTATTTAAAAACCTAAAAAAAGAAGAGGA